ACCGTGACCGGCCTTGGTATTGTTTATTACATAGAACTTCTCTTCCCACATGTTTCTTAATAACAGGAATTAGGATTACAACTGTAATATTACCTCTTTTTCCTCTGTGGTTATAAAATTTGCCTCTTGTCGTTAAGAGAACAACAAAAATTGATGTTGATAACGGTTGCTGAGGAGAATACCTCGTCCAAAGTCATAGGAGGTAGCAGAAGACAAGAGAAAATTACAGAATGAGAGCTTTACAATTTATACACGTATACTTCACCACATGTTAGAGTGACATGAGAAGATAGGACATAATATTTTGTGAAAGATATTGGAAGAAGGGACCATTTGGAGACCTAGGCGTAGATGGCATGGTAATATATAAACGTAACTGAAATTGTAAAGTTGTAAGACGTGGACTTGAATTGTCTGACAAAGGAAAATGACCAGTGGCAGGTTCTTGTGAACAAAGAAATGTACTATTGAGTACCATAAAAGTCAGTGAAGTTCTTGACTATCTGAGAGACAGTTAACTTCACAACAAAGACTCTTCTCCTAGCACTCCTTAATTAGTCCATTAGTACTCACAGCTACCATCCATGTATCTCCACAGGGACAACTGCCTATTCTGGACCTTTTTACTTGATAAGACAAACAAAAATATATTTTTCGCCATCTGTTAGGAGTTCACGCTAACTATTCTTTACTTTTGAACAATGTAATTTGTTCCTTATCATGGAATATGCTACCAGAAGATGATTGCTTTGGAAATAGAGAGTGGCATGAGTTGAAATTAAAATAAAACTGATAATATCGAAAAATATTTCAGGTTAAATTAAATAAGAAGTAATTTATTTTGCATGTCTTTTATGGCCCTCCTAATTTAGGCAAATAGATGTTTTATAACCAGGAAAGGCGGTTTCATTCAAGTGTCTGTATTAGATTTATTATGCCGACCTGATACTAGAGAACGTTTTTCTTGTGGTACTTATGCGTCCCCTTGTTAACTATGACTCCACCAGTGCTTCACATTCACCTGTCAACGGTGCTGAGGGGCCACAGACTAGAGTAACAAGCACAGGGCAACAATCTCGGTCCTCATTCCAGATTTCCTTTCGGATAGGCCAACTGTCTAAATACAGGAGCTTATTTTTGTGGGCTTTAAGATTCTGTCAGTAGCTGTAATATAGAACGTCGAATGGTTGGATGACAAATGAAAAAGCAATCAAGGTCTAACCGAGGAACTATCCTATTTTTAAGTCAAGTGGCTGAGGAGAACTATGAAAACTTCAGTCAAAATACCCGAGATTACAGCCGAGTATAATTCTTTTACAGTTATAGTTGCCGCTTTGTCAGCCTGTTCAGTTAAAAAGTTGAATTAATTAACATTTCTATTCTCATTTCAAGGAAAACTTATGTGAAATTAGATGGAATTTATTTTTGTACAAGGTAGTTAAAACTTTTATAGGCTTAAAGGCAGGTCAAGAACAGAAAAATAATATTTTATTAACATAATTAGAAAGAAATTAAATTGAATGCTAATGATATTAATTTATTTCCGAAATATAAATGTCATAAAAAGAATAAGAAATTTATGTTAGATTCACAGGAACTTGATTCATTGTTCCAATTGTTTGTCAATAATGTAGACTGTGGCAACGAAGGACTGGATAGAAGCACATAATTAATTAGAAGAAATATCAAAAGGAGCAGTCGTGGCCTAATTCAAGTTTATATTCCGACGTTTCTATGAAGGGACTGAGAAATACCAAGAGATACCTCAGTCAGTATCGTCCATGTTCCGTCAGATATTCCAGTGAGGCACAACCTGAAGACATGTCAGAAGTATTACCGCTGGAGCAAATTTAAGTTCCAACATCACATTGCTGGAAAGAGAATGAAACATTATTGAATCTGTTGTGAAGTTCGCATACTTTAAAGTGACAACAACTGATCGAAATAATCTTCACTGAATTCACAAAAGGGGGACCTGGCATAGCGCAGTCGGTATAGCGACTGGCAACAGTCTGGACGGCCGAGGTGTCGGAGTTCGAGTCCCGGTGGGGGCAAGAATTTTTTCTTCTCCAAGTTACCCAGACTGGTCCTGGGGTTCACCCAACATCCTATCCAATGGGTACCGCGAGCTCTTTCCCCGGGGGTAAAACGGCAGGGACGTGAAGCTGACCATTCACCTCAAACTAGTGCCGAGGTCAAGAAAATTTAGATCTATACATCCACTCGCCACATACGCCTTTATGGCGTAGTGCTTAAGTAGTTAAGCACAGAGACAACTTTACATTTTTACCCTTACTGAATTCACAAAATATTTATGTCAATGTACCTAACTAGAATGTGAATATTTGGGTCTATACAGCCTACTTTAAAAAGTACAATGAAAGAAGGGTCCAATTCACTTACAAAGATGAACACAGTAATTTATGGAGCATTATAAGCCTCTGGCCGGTTTTATTCTGAAAATAGCCTTCTTTGGACGACTACGATGCGAACATATATTTAAAGGAACCTATGGGAACGCACTCGGAGTTGAGCACCATCTTCAGCTTTTTGAACAGTTGGTTCTCAGGTCTACTTTCAGACCCAGGCATGCGTGTCTATAGGCGTCGGCGAGATTCTGTATTCTGCTCTGTAGGCCTACAGATGTCTTACGTCCAGCTGATCCCCCAACAGAGAAGTCGTAGTGAATATACAATACATGAGTCTTGGCTGCAGGACAGTATCGGAATAAACAAGATGGGGGTAACTAAGTAATTGACCAAAGAGTCAAACAAGAAACAAACTAACTGCCCAACAAGCTGAGTAATTAACAAAACTAAACAACCAAACAATTACCTGACTTAATAATTGCTGCCATATAACCATGATAGCAAAAGCTTTAATTCCAAAAGTCTGAATTAGATTTCCTGCGACAGCATTGTAATTATTATATATAAAAAAACAAACTACGTGGTTTTAGTTCGCAAGCGAATTACACCGACCCAGCGACCGCCGCTTGTCAGCGAAGTTAGTGCCAACTTTAGCGGATAGATGGTGTTGCGTGGTCAGCGCAACGGATCCCCACTCCCGTTAATATCGATTTTCTAGACCGGAGCCGCTATTTCCTTGAAATTGCTCCTTAATTGTCCTCACGATGCTGAGTGGACCCCGTTCCAGACCCACTACTTCTCAGAAAATCTTGTAACGACAGGAATCGAACCCGGACCTCTGGATCTGTAGCCAGAAACTGTGACCACTAGACCACAGAGGCATTCTATAATTATTATATACTTTACAAAAAATATCTAAAAATAATTGAATAGCCCTAGAAGCTTGAATGTCACGAAAAACTACAGGATTATCCATGGCTGTAGTATTTCTCCCATCTCAGACATTTGCAGAGTTGTAATGTTGGTATTATGGATGACAGGGATGTCGGGACTGTACATAGTGGTACGAAATATTTATTAACTTTAAGAAAAAAAAACCCTGATTTAAATGTAATCTGATGAGGTCACGAACACAAATAGCATATGGTGTTACCATAAGTGTACATAAAAACGCGGTTATGTGACCTCAGTGCTACAAATATACGGAATGTAAAGAAAAAATAGCGCTGCTAAAGTTCTCATCAAAGGCCACTGTATTTGCCTTCATTTTTAGAACTGACTTCTTCGTTTATGTAACGAGATAATAAACATGTTTCAAGAAGCGCCAAGAAGTCTGTTTTGAGTCCATATCAAAATAATGATGCTGGCCATTTTCTTTAAAGTAGCGCCAAGAAATAAGAATGAAACGGGGCCGCGGAGGGGAGAAGAAAAAGGAACAGAGAGAATTTGGGGGGTGGATGGGAGGGGGGTTGAAGAGAGGGCTAGAATTTTATCGCTTGGAATTTTACAAGACGTAAAAGCATGCAGCCTGCGCAATTAGTCCGAAGATAAATGAATCTCCTTGGAAAAGACTCGAGACTTCTTCTTCTTCTATCTTACTTCTTTTTATTCTTCTCCCTTTTTCTTTTGGCAGCGGCAGCAAAAAGAAATTGCAGACATATTATATATACACACACAAGTAGAATGGAAGCATTATAGGGGGAGGTTCTGCCCTATCTCATTTTCAGTTAAAATATAGAAGTTGCTTGAATATTATACATTCATACAGCAAGAATGCGTCGACAGAGTAGCAGCATGACGTCAGCAAGCCATAAAGCATGGCGGACTGGAATGTTTCTGTTATTTTGAAAAGACCCTAAAGAAAGATCAGCCTACAAGACGTCGCTGTGTAGTGGCTGATATTTATGCTTTCTTACTCGAGAGACTGGAAGTTCGATTCTCGGAAGCTTGCTTTTTCGACGTTCCTCATTGTTCTTCTCAGTCGCTCCAAGTATCCACATAACCGTCAAACTTCCAGCCGTCCGTCTGTCCGTCATCAATCTGTTTCTCCAAAAAACAAGTCGTAAGGAAACTAGAGGAAACAAAATATACATATATCTTTTGGAGAGACAACTGCGATAAAATTGTAACTTTTGCACTCACTTGCATAAGTTCGAGTCCAAGTCAATTTCTTTTCTTACTCCTGTATGTAGCGCGGTAGCGTAGTTGGTTGAGGTACTATACTACAAGCCGGAAGGTCTCAGGATCGAATCCCGATGATGGCCCTGGAGTCGATTCAGCCGGTAACAGAAATGAATACCAGGAATGTTCTTGAGGGTAAAGGGCGGGCGGCGCGTAAGGCTGGCAACCTTGCCGCCATCTATGAGCAGATTGTCTAGAAAATGTGGGAACCTCAAAATTTCACAACCTTATGGACCTCCACGGCCTGTTACAAGGATACCTTTACTTTACTTTACTTTACTTTACTTATTTAGTAGTCTCTACTGTTGAATATCTGACTTGTGACATGGATCGTAAATATCGAAATAGACGGGCCATCTATGAGCATAAGCAAGCTGTCTTACACCTTCGGTCTAGCAACAAGAAAATCCATTAGTGCTGAATATTATAACCAGTTTTATTTTACTGTGTTAAGGTTGTGTTAAGATTACTCTATTTTATGTGTCATTAAACAGATGACGTGAATGTAAAAAAACTGAACTTGTCACAGGTGAATTACCCCTGCACCATTGCATTTACAAATGCCTTTCGGCACGGAAATTTGGGTAATTATGCGAGAATCAGTGCAGTTTGGCACATCTGAAGCTAATTAAAGCAGAGAGCTACTAGCCAATCCCAGCCATTTCCTTTTCTCCACCCTTCCGGTGTTCATTTTCTGCTGACATGTCACGACTCTACCCACTTCTTTCTGACACACGCTTTGATCGTTTATTTTGTCTATTTTTTTTTAATATCTTTTCTGCTTCCCTTCCCCCAAATCTCTACTGCATGGCTATTTTAACCCTTCTTATTATCAAGGGGCAGAGAAGAAAAACAGAAGTGCAGAAAATTGGAAGCTTGAGAAAAGGAGAGGCAGGGATTATACACAAACCTTCCCCTTTGTTAATCTCACCCCCCACGTTGAACTGCATACGAAAATAAGGACTCTCAGGCTATATATTTGGGGGATACATTGCATGCCTTCGACATATTCCTACATAAATAAAATTAAATTCACTATAAATTCTTAATATGACTATCGAAGGATCATTAAGTAATATTTTGTAGAACTTGTTCTTCTTCTTTATTATTATGCTTATTTTATTGATTTGAGCTTATTTAGGTGCTAATTCTCTCTTCCCAGATCTGCCAATTGGTTATTTGATTTGCTTTTGTCATATTTGGAAGGATGAAAGCTGACTTTGGTTGGTCGACTTAGAGGGAATAAAGTAGCCGTCATCAACATTTGCAGTTTCTGTGAAATAAAAAAGAACGCGTTAGTTAGCACTGAATAGAGAAATAATATTTTTATTTTCGTTAACAATAGATGTACATTTGTGTTAAGATTCGAGTTTAACTTATGTTTATGTGGACTTTAATATATTTTATAAACAAAGTGTGCCTATACGCCATATATTGATTTTTTTATTTGCGTCATTCATTTCCTCCGTATAATCGGATATGTACCAGAACTTGAAACAAACTGTTATAGTAGCTGTAGCCAATTATAATTCTGCATTATCCCCCTGGTGGTAAGAGGACTGGCTCTGTTTTGATTCGTGATAAAACCCGTGCATATTATAAAAGTTTATACCACTTTTAGGCTTTATTTCATTCCTGTGAAAGAAAAAATCTGAACCCTATTAACTTTACGTCAAAGACTTTCTATAGCCCCTATTTTCGAGAAAAGAAAAAAAGTTGATCGAACCGTCCCTAGCTTCACTCCTTTTACTCCTTTTTTTTAATTTTCTCTCTTATTTTTTCCACATTTTACTAATTAAAAGTTTGTGAAACTGAACGAACTCTAGAGGACATTGTGCAGCAGGTTACAACATCGCCTTCTAGTGGAAAAACTTGGAAGCTCCAACCTCATCACCCAGGCAACCGGCCTCAATTATGGAAGAGCGGCTTAAATCATAAAAATTAACTTCTAAAAATAATCTGTCTCATTATGAAATTACGTGTTCTTATTTCTAAAAATAAGGAGATATATAAATATTAAGTAACATGGTAAATTTATTTATTTATTTATTTACGTGTTTATTAAACAGCCCAAAACCAGTTACTCGTACAACATAAACAAGAGAAAGAGAAAGAACGAAACAAACACATACACAAAACAAAAGGCAATACAATGCAATTTGGATCATTTATACAGTTAGTGCAGTCATGCCAACCATTAAGTAGTAAACATATACACTTATATATACGGAAGAGCAACTAAGTTATTTGTAAAAGACACTGATAAGATATAGAACATCTGTACTCAACTACTGAAATATTCACCCTGACTAATATGGCATCATATTTATCACCACAAGTAACAATAAGAAATCTTCTGTATTTTAAGACTGCAAATAATTTTTATTCTTTCGAGTGTAGACGAATCAGTCGATATAATGGAAATACAGGCAACAGAATTGTACTGAAGTTTTTTAGACCGATCTCCATTCTAGGTATTGAAATGATAAAGTCCATGAAAAGGCAGTTCAACTTGCATGATGTCGAAAATATTATTAAAGTCAAAATAAATAGTGAGTTTAACCTTGAGAACAAATGAAAAGGTTACAATTTCAAGGAAGATGACTGAACTGGTAGCAGTAAGCTTCGATTTAGGAAGCCATGTTTAGAAGAGTTAAACCTAGATTTAAAGAAATGAGAAACTTCGTCGGGTAAGCCTACTAATAAGGCCGCGCCATAGCTCAAGCTCTTAGTCGCTGACTCCTCGCCACGGAAGCCCGGGTTCGATGCCGGGTCTGGTCAAGTGGGATTTTTGGTGGACAAAGTGCCGCTGGGGCTGGTTTTCTTCGAGTACTTCGGTTTCCCCTGCCAATCTTCATTCCACCAAATTCTCCATCATCATAATCACCCGGGGCAGGCTACAATAGGTCAATCAGTGGCCGCCGTTCCGAGTGGACCCAGTTAAGACTCCACATCCAACTAAGCGAATTAAAAAAAGAAGCCTATTAATAAATTTGAAAAATTTAAAAAAGAAAACGTGATATGGCTATGGATCGGTAACTATCAACGGAGAGGTTTTTGTTTGTCTTTTTAACTGAGGTTGGTTCCACAAGGAAAGAAAAGTATTCTGAGATAAGTCAAGATTAAGAATAAACTTAAGAATAAGAAAGAAATTTTCATATCTTACAAAAATGAATAATAATATTAATTCAGTTCATATTTATTTACGTGCAAACTTGACAGCATATAGGCCAATTACTAAGTTAGCACGCGTACATAGAAATACATGATAGAAATAGTCATGATGCTGACCTCTTGACTCAGACAGATGTGCGGTGGTTTACGTAATCTCACTCGTTTCAACTGTGCTCCTTCCTTTGCTTCATGTCGCAGACATCGTGTCTTGACTGTTACATATCTTGACGCATGTCGGTGTGCGGCTTACCTTAGAGAATCAGAAACCGCTCTCTGATGCAGCGAAGTCTCGAGCAATAACGGAAAAATTAAGAAAAACAATAATAAGAGGGTAGCAATGCGCAATGCAAAAAGCTCTTTGTTCTTGTAACTCAATGACCATGTATGGGTGGAATGGAGGGTGTGGGGGGAGGGTACAAAAAAATACGTCCATTTTCACAGAACCTCGACAAGCCAACAGGGCTAAGCAAAAGAACAAAAGAAAGAAACAAGGAAAATAATTATCTCGTACAGAAGGCACTAGCAAAGAGACGTAGCATATAATAAAAACACAAAAGCAGGGCAAGACGCGCGGTAATATCAGAACAATAAAGGAAAGGCGTGAAAACAAAGGAAAAAGAAGAATACTTAAACAAAAGAGAAGACCGAAATTTCTAAAGAAAAGTGTGTAGGCATGGGGAGAGAAAGAAAGACCCATTTTAACTAAAACGTAATTTGCATTTTTGGAAGTGAAGTGGTGGGAGTTGGTCTCAGAGAAACTAAAAGACTATGGCATGGCATTGCCTTGAATGAGTAATATAAAATACATAGGCCTACACGGTGCATGACAGGCATACAATGTTCCGACATCATTTGTTTCATGCGCCCATCGGTTTATTGAACTTGCGGGCTAGATTTATGCTACTAGAATATTATCGGTTAGTTGAACAGAAACCTGAGGACATTGCCACAGAGGAAACTGCCTGCGATTCTTAGACTCGTCAATGAACTTTCCGCTACATTCAGTCGTCCCAAACTGTTTCCTTAACCTCACTTTTTTTAATTCACTTAGTTGGGGGGGGGGGGGGAGATTCCAGCTGGGTTCACTCGGCACCGCAGCCACTGATCCACCTATTGTACCTGCCCCGGGTGATTATGATGAGGGAGAACTTGGTGGAATGAAGATTGGCAGGGGAAACCGAAGTACTCGGAGAAAACCTGCCCCAGCGCCACTTTGTCCACCACAAATCCCACTTGACCAGACCCGGGATGGAACCCTGGCCTCCGCGGTGGGAAGCCAGTGACTAACGGCTTGAGCTGTGGCGCGGCCTTAACCTCACTTTACGCGTAGGTTTAATCGTCACATGAATGTTCTCATTTTCCAAGAGGTCTCCCGGTCACGGTTCAGGTTATATCCCACAAATGTAACGCACATGGAATCTGTAGGGTACTTAAATAATACTGTCTTCCCAGAAATAAAATGAAAGAAATTAAATTTGAAATAGAAACAGGAATATGTCTGAAGGAATAGAAATTATGCAGCAGGAAAGTAGCCTGTATGAATTCTGACTTCTTATTTATGGTTTTGAGTTCTGTGTTCCGAGCCACACAGTAGCCATGGCTGAACATCTTTTCCAGATGTTTATCTTAATGAGTTTGCACATATTTCCGTTGGTTTCATGTCTCACCTATGATTCGGCATTCAGCCGCGAGAGGACAGTCTCAGCAACAACAGCAGATTGTCTCGAAGTCAGGCGGTCAGGGCGTCCAAGCAGTAACCAACCTTCTCAGACGCAGTGGCTATAAATTGTCTTGCGCTAAAATTAAAACCCAACCAAAAATTACCCCCACTGACTTCTTTATATCCTGCAGGGTCCAGCGAATCTTATTTCTATTCCCCTACTAAACACCCCCAGCTCTCTTCAACCCCCCTGACTCTTCTTCCAGGCGTCATTTGGCCGAGAAGAGTGAAGAGGAGGAGGGAGTAGGTGGAAATTGAGATGAAAGGAGGTAGAGAAAAATTACATCCAGAGAAGAAAGAGAAAAAAGGAAGGGAAGAAAAATCGAAGTGGCAGCCATATTGAGGTTTACTTTGCTAGCGTCAACATCGGAGTTGGGACTTAGAAAAAAATACAGTCGGTTCTAAATTATCGACGCTCCGTCAGATGTCTAGGCTGCGGGTGCAGTATGCGTTCACGCTGTAGCCACGACAGGGTGTGTCAGAAGCTAGGGTCGGGGGGAAATTTAATGTAGGTCCAGTGACTGAGGCTCGCTCTTTCTAAGGGACCCAACAGAATAGGTGTTTTACCTCACCTGAGGACGGAAACAGATCCAGTTTCCGAAACGTCGTGTTTTTTCTTAGTTATCTTAAAAACCAGGACGATGGATAAAGTCCGAAAACCTAATATCTCTACATGAAGTTATATTCAAGAAGACTTTCTTTTTTCATTGGCGCTACAGCCCCAATTTGGGCCTTGGTCTACCTCCATGAAACTTTCCGTTTCACTTCGGTTTACTAGATCTTAGATATTCTGTAGGACTCCTTGGGCGGGTGATCAGCTCGTCGCAAGGCCTCCACCTGTAAACTAACACAGATAAACACACATCACACACAAACACCAAACATCCATGTCCTAAGTGGTAATTCAGAAGACATAAATTAGATATTTTAATAGATGTGCCGGGCTCAAGATCCATTTCTATTTTCTAGATGTGCCTTTTTTTTTCTCTCTTGTAAGTTAACATCATAGCCTTCCCTAACGTCAAGTGTTTGCGTTCATTCTTATGCGCTCTCCGTTTCCTCACATGGTACAGAAATTTCTTCGACTGTATTGTCAATTTTATTCCGTACGTCCAAATTCATTTTTTGTCTAAACTCAAATAACTTAATAAGAATATATCGAGATATAATTTGTCATTCAAAAGAAGGTTTCTAAATTTTGTGGATATGTTAATCAAATGAGCAAATTAAAATTTCCTGTTAAGCTGGAACCCATTCAGAAATTACCTCAAGAATTTATATCGATTTGGATATAAGACTGTACTGCAAATTTTTAGTTTTTTTATTATTTACTAAAATGAACCTCATTTATTAATTAAACTTCTTAAGAACTGTTTACAACGTCTGCTTGATCCTCTTTCATCAATTGAATCACTGCGTATAACTTTGACAAATTTAGGGTAGGCATGCCTCTACTATAGAAACAAGATCTTTTCTTTTCTTCCTTGGCACTACAGCTCCAGTGGGCCTAGGCCTACCTCCATGAACTTCTCCGTTCACGTCGGTTTACTAGACCTTACACATTCGGTAGGACTCCTTGGGCGGGTGATCAGCTCGTCGCAAGGCCTCTACCTGTACACAAACATAGAAAAACGGACACACATAAACTAAACATCCATTCCCTGAGTTGGATTCGAACCCACGATCCCGGTTTCCCAGCGAGCGAAGACAGTACATGCCTTAGACCCCTCGGCTACCGTGACCAGCAATAAGATCTTTACAAATGTAAAATAAAATAAACACATTAATAGTAAGAGATCAGCATGATCTATGCAATAGGAAAGTAGGCTTTGTGGATTGCCCTATGATTTCTCCGTAAAAATAATTCAAATTCTGTGACTGTATGTATATTATAAAGTATAATTTCTACAGTCGAAAACTTGAGGATTATTGAGTGTTGAGACATGGTATGATATATTCACGGATCTCAGTCTCAATCCAAAACAAAGGAGCCAGTGTTTCTATGCAAAAATATTTGTTGAGGAATCTTATTACATGTACCTGGACAAGTTTTTCAAAAGAATGGGCACCCCCCGTTAATAATCGCCACTGCCTGTCCTCTCCGATTTTTTCCTCCTTCATTCCCTCCTAAAAGGAGAAGGGGACTTTGGTTACTGATGAGTAGGGTTGAAGGAAGAAGGGTAGTGGTAAGAAAAGGGGAATAAGAAAGAAGGGTTTGGAAGATGAGGGAAAAATATATATTTAAATGGGGGGGAGTAAGGATACAACTTCGTTAACGTTTCGGAAATGCGTGCGTGCGATATATTCTTTGGGGGTAACGATAAAAATCGTTTGGATTTGATGAGTAAGGAATTAGGGAGGTTGAGTTTTAAAATTAGGGTAGATGTGAGGGGAAGGTACTTTCCTCAAGGGCTTGCATTAAGTTTATAAGCGAAATGTTGGCAATTTTGAAAGCTAAGAAATCTACAAGGCTTGACGCCAAGCAAGAGACTGCGCATGAGTGTACCGACTAAGATGACATAACATTTGTCTTAGGGGAGGATTGGATCTTAGCTTGGGAAACGGCTGTCCAAATTAAGATATTTGTGTTTCGAGATGACTGCAGTACAAGATTTTTCTCTTCTCCACAGCATTCAGACCGACCATGGGGCAGGGGCATGAAGCTGACCACTAAACTCCATCTAGTGCTAAGGTCAAGAAAGCTGGATCTATACTTTCACTTCCCCTTACTTACTTACTTACTTACTTACTTATTTACTTATTTACTTACTTACTTACTCATGGAGCTGAGCCCTTCTGGAGGAGCCGCAAATTCCGCAGCTGCTCAAAAATTTCCCAGCATTTTACGAAACCTGAAAGTTCATTACCGTGTTCACAAGAGCCCTCCGCTGGTCCCTATCCTGAGCCAGATCTGTCCAATCCATACCATCATATCTCTCTAAAATCCATTACTTTCACTTCCCTGCATATCTTAGTGGCGCAGTGCTTAACTACTTAATTTCCAGGACAACTTCCCCCCCTTACTGGAGATAATATTAAAAATAATTGTTGAGAAGTCGGTTGAAATGGAATAGATCAGGGTCTATTTGCTATTGTTAGACACACAGACTCTTACTTAGGCAAGTTAGTTGAATAGTGAATGAGACTCTGTTGCTGAAGGTGAGCCCTTGTTATTTCTACGGCAAATGGTCCTGTCACGTTCCAGCCCCAGGTAATAGAAGAATGAATGAAGCATTCGTGGATAAGAATTTATATTGGAAAATCGAAGTACTTTGAGAGAAACTTACCACAGTGCCACTTTGTCCACTATAAATCACATGACCTGCTCTGATATTGAAACCGAGACTCCGCGGTGAAAAGCAGGCGACCGACTACCTCAGCAATGGCGCTGCCCTTAGTAACTTAGTTTTTCCACAGGACCTACAGCCCCCTTGGGCACTGACCTCTGATTTTTGGTTTCATGATCATTTTACAGACGGTAGGACTCCTTGGACGGGTGATCAGCTCGTCGCAAGGCCTCTACCTAAACGCAGAATAAACACATACACACACTAAACATCCATACCTTGTGTTGGATTCGAACCACGATCCCGGGTTGCAAGCGAGCGAAGACAGTACATAACTTAGACCGCTCTACTACCGTGACCGGTTCGTCAGTTACTGGGCTCTATATTGTTAGTGTGGAGGTAGGTAGCCATTCAGTCATTTGATTGCATAACTAAAAAAAAGAATATGTTGTGTTACGTTCTACTTTTAGCGTGTGCTTCAAGTGTCCAGTAACTAAGACAGACTGCCAGAGGGCGGGCTTCACGTCTGGTCGACGTCAGACACAATATATTATTACTGCTCTGCCAGAACTGTGCAGTTACTGTAAGAACACTAAGCTCCTAGCAGTTAAAAAAAAATACAGGAATGAGAGCAGTAAAGACTTTTATTGCTCTCTGTAGCCCTTCTTTAAGCCAAATTACTGCGTATTTCATATTTCTTATTCACCCTTCATCCGCCCGCCCAACAATTCCATATTCAAATTACTGAATCTTCTTTTTGAAATATGCGCCGAATTAAGACCTATACAAGACGTGTTTCTTTCTTTGAACAAGGGGAGGTGCATGTGGCAATGTATTCTGAAGGATGTGGGGGGGGGTTGAGGGTGTGGGAGTTGGGGTAATGAGCGAATGTGAATCGATGGCACTGTTTTTGCTAGACTGTATATCTGCTAGTGCCCATCAAGTAAAGCACGCTTTGACCCTGAATGCAGTGCTTGCTGTGTTAGAATTCTGGGGAGGGGGAACACAAATATTTTATTAGTACATTATTAGAAAGTCACTATTTCTGTGAGATCCATTTTATCTTCATCATCATCATCATCACTTCAGAGATTAGGCGAGTTATCTGTTCCGGCCCCTAATCTTGTTACAGATCAATATGAATTTTCCACGTATTTCCGTTTGGTTTTCCCGAAATGGTTCTTCCTTTTAAGATTTCCACAAATCTTATACTTCATTTAAACAACCTAACTATTTTAGGAGATCTTCCTTCAATGTCTCTTCCAGTCCACTCAGGGCCCTGGCCTCTTATTCAGTTCCGTAATCAATTTTACACACACTGTAGGACTCCTTGGACGAGTGATCAGCCAGTCTCATGGCCGCTACCTAAACGTAGGACAACACAAACACATAAAAAACATATACACACACTAAATATCCATGCCCTGGGTGGGATTCGAATCCACGATCGCAGCGTCCGAGTGAGCAAAGACAGTACCTGCCTTAGACCGCTCGGCTACTTTGACAAGAATTTTAGGAGAATAGTACATTTATATAATCTCGTTGTGTCTAATTTTTCTGTGTCTTGATATTTCCTCTCACTTAGATATAGAAGTTTATTCTCAAACAAAAATTTCCTGATTACGAGTTAAAATTTCATACCTTCATGAAACTACAATTGAAGCTAGAGCTTTGTATTTTTTCTATTTTCACCTCCTTTAGACTAAAAACGAGAAGACGGCGGCTTTTGTACTGATTGATACTAGAATGTATTTTTCAGTTAGGTCTAATTTCATTATTTTCGTTCGTTCCTTCATATATTCCTGTATTTGTCCTTATATTCTGTCTTCTTATAACGAGACATGTACCTGTGATTAGCTAAAATACCTGGTGACTCAGTCTCCAAGCACCTGCTCACGCTGGCTTCTCACTCGCGGATTTTTCTACCCTGAAGATGGATGCCATACGTTCTTCCGAAACGTCTGTTCACACAAGATCTACACGGCTCACATCCCAGAAGACGGCCAACTTCATAGTGACCGCCTTGAAAACCTCGAATCTTACAAAATATCAAATATTTCAAAGGAATTTGCTGTTGTCTTTTGAACACTTCTTCATCCAGTGAAATCAGAGCTGGAATTTGGGTGGGGGGGGAGGAAGTGAGTGTGACAGCTTGCCCGCTAGTGGGCGATATGGACGTTCATCGACTACAGAGTTGAAATTTCGTCGGATTTAAGTGAGTCCCATACAATATTTTGTTAATGTGAAATGGACTCGGAACTAAAAAATAATGGAGTTTTAATTCTGTGTATTTGTAACATGGCCGGAATTATAATAATAAAATACATTTTCCTAAAAGTTCCTGTTATATGATTGTTCCTCATTGTTTAAAAACAGGAGAAGTGCTGAGATGGCGCTTGTCCTTGAATCTGGTTCGAATACAGAAACGGTTAATCACGCTTTCTCGTGTCAAATTAATAGATTCGTGTACTAGTAGAACCTCAGAACTTCGTAACAAATGGAGTTGTGTGTTATTACATGGTACGAAACGGTGTGACGGTCATTACAGCTTAAATACTTTGCGCAGTAATTATTCGTTACGCAACTAACATTACTTAGAGGCAGTTACTTAAGAATTCACCCAGTAAATGGATTCCAATTCTGCTATTAAAGTCCTATAATGAAGCTGAGAGAAAATACACTTCCTTTCGGCGTTTTATTATAATCGCGCTCATGTGTTCTGAAAGGTACAGGCCAACGCTTGTTAAATAAAATAAAAACTCACCGACGTATAATATTAACTCTTATTTCGGGCCTGTTTCCGAAGTTTGTCCCTTCCACTTGCGGAGGAATTAAATGAGGGTATTTCCAAAATATTGCTGGGCAGAATATCTGAAGAATGGAGGAAGGTGACTGCACTGTCTATTCAGGGGAGAGTTTACAGTAGCTCAGAGCTTGTAATCTAGATGCAGTTGGTTCGAATATCTCTCGTAATATTAAGATCTCGACAAGTCTGTTATTACCAATGCCTGGACACAACTGTATACTGTGTTGATGGCCTGATCATATGGAACTAAATTTCCCATCTCCCTTATAAGGAACCTTCTGCACGTTCTTCTAGCCAAAGGAGCAACTTCAATTTCTTAAAAAGTTGCACTAAGGTGAAGCTATCCCTGTAACAGACTGTAAAGGACCCTAGGGTTGCGAAACGTTGAGGGTCCCACATATTCTAGACAATCGGCTCACAGATGGCGGTAAGGTTGTCAGCCTTACACGCCGGCCGCCCTTAACCCTCCAGGAAAATTCCTTGTATTCATTTATTTTAGAGGCTGAGTCGACCCCAGGGCAATAGTGCGGCTGGTAGGATTAGGTCAGTTAAAAATATCCACCTCATCGGGACTCGAACCCCCAACCTTCCGGCTTGTAGCATAGTGCCTCAACCAACTAACTACGCTGCCGCATGCCCCTGACAAAAACTTTCAATACACTTCTTAATTAACCAGTGCACAATGAAGACGTAGGGAGGAGTGGAGGTATAGCGAAATATATTTTATATATCGGCACTGGATGGAGGCGAATGATTAGAGTCATGTCCCGACCGCTTTACCCGCTCCCGGGAAGTAGCCTTCTTTACCCAGCAGATAGGAGGCTAGGTTAAGTCAGAGCCGGCCCAAACGTTCGTGAAGAGAGAAATGTCTGACCTTAACCGGAACTGAATCCGGATTCGGCAGTCGCTCAGCGTTTAGCTTAGTCACAATACGGATTTAGTCACGCCGGCTGACTCTTCTGCTGTTGTTGTCTAAGGTCATCATGCACTCTCTCTTTGGAAAAAGAAATTACAATTGCTCAACATGGTAAAGAAATTCCCCGCCTTTCAAGAACCCGACGGTTAATTACTGTGTTCACAACAGCCAGCGGATTGAGCTTCTCCTGAACCAGTTTCGTCCTGTCCACATCCTAGCACCCAGTTTCTCTTGCATCCGGTTTGGAAGTATTTTCCGGTCTGCATCTAAATCTCTCTCGAGCTTCTGCAAGTATGGTCAATTTCTCATCTCTTCCACATGCTACATGTTCCGCCCACACTGTGGCTGTTGTCGCGGCCTCTGTTATTATTATTATAAATTTTGTTTTTCTCCTTGTGTTTGTCTTTATGCAATTTTGTATTTGTGCCCATTGTATAATTGACAAGAGACTGTTGAGCTCAGCACGTAAATGAACAAAGAACTGAAATAGCTGAAATGGATTGAAAAATACTGTCACGTATTGGGTGTATAACGCGACAAATAACTTCACGCCGTATTTGATATAGCGAATTTTATTTCACATTCGCACTTACAATCACCCAAATTACAGATTCACAATTACTGCTATCTGCAGTATCACAAATACTACACTCCAAATGCCAGAATACAACTGACTGGTTGCTGGCTAACTCGGAACTAACTCGGAGGTAGCTCGAGGACTCTTATAAACCTTCAGCCGGACAACAGGAAAACGCCTGGCTTCCTTGTTGCCTGGTTGCCTGTTTGCTGATATCGTAGAAACGCTGTTTAGAGTTGTTTACTACTGCCTAGTAACCGCGGTATCCCGTGGTGACGTCACCGCTGTTGACTCACGTTGCATAGCTACCAGGACGCTGGGACTCGGCTAACTTCGGCTCCGCTCGGCTCACTTCGGCTTCGCTCGGCGCGTCAGCTCCGGGGAGGGGGTCCAGCTAGCGTGACACGTCACAATACTATTACGGCTACTTAACCCTCACACTTCACATACGAGTATTTCGGTTTAGAGCCTTTGTCTATATAAATGTTCATAAAGGCTCTAAATTCTGACTTGAGTTCTGGAACCAGACCGCATTCGCATACCTGCTCTGAAAATGTAAACTTTCCTGTGTTTAGTATTTCCGTGCTTCCTTCCATAATTTTCACTCTGTTACATGTGCTGCTAATGTAAATTTAGATATCTTGATATTGTGACATTTAGTCCCGTTGCTAGCCAACGACCGCGAAATAAGCAGCTATGTCATAGGTGTTGCTAGGTAATGACTCTGTAAACAACGGTCGTTTCTAGGGAACAGTTGCGAGAGGTTTTCTATGACTTCCGTGTCAGGTCACTATAACGAGTAGCAACTGCGATTACGAGAAGGTAGTTATAAGATAATGTTCAGTTGTGAGACCGTCGCCGGCCAATAAGGACTCGAACACGGAGGGTGAGGAAGCTACGGCGTTGGAAGCCGTTACCAGGCGACAACAACCGAAGATACAGAAGACTAAGAAGACTTCGTACGTGCTGTAGTGAATTGCAGAGTGTGTGAATTAACAATGATGTTATATTACTTGTTG